CCCCCTGGTGAACCTGAGGAGAGAATGAAATGCCATGCATGGTTATGAACGTCTGTGAGCAGTTAATTGAGTGTTTTCGAAAGAGAGGTTTGGACATAGTTGTCTTTCCACTGTTTGCCTTGTCCTACATTGCTGGTTTCATGTTGAAGAGACACTGTGTGTGTGTGTTTGTGTGTGTTTGCTTGTGTTTGCTTGTGTTTGCTTGTGTTTGTGTATGTATGTACGGTGTGTGTGTGTGTGTGTTTGTGTATGTGTGTGAGTGTGTGTGTGTGTGTGTGTGTGTGTGTGTTTGGATGAAAACTTGCGCGTGCGCGTGCGCGCGCGTATGTGTGTGCGCGCGTTCCTATATGCGTTTGTGTATATGTGCGTTTGTTTGTGTGTGTGTGTATTTATGTTTGTGTGTGTGTGTGTGTGTGTGTGTGTGAGAGAGAGAGAGAGAGAGAGAGAGAGAGAGAGAGTACATGTATGAATTCAAGCCAGGAGGAGATGGAGACGAAGGAAAATAAAAAAAATACGAGTGGATGAGGATGAGGAGTGGGGGTCGCAAAGTAATTTTTGGGTGGTGTAAGATCAAGCTGAATTAGTGTTCCGAAGTTTCCTGACTCATAAAAACAATGTTATTTAACACACCGGACTGTCATCACACGAAGGAAATCTAAGTCTCAGAAACAAACGTCACGTTCATCCTAATGATGTGCGATGTGGTGGCAGCATTGTTATAGCTATACGATGTGATCAATATAATGGTAGCCACACTTTTTGGGATGATGTTGGGGGAAAAAGTAACAATGACAAAATCTATTAAAGGTGCACACCACAACAAATCCTAGTCCATCCTCTCGCTTCGAAATCTCTTGGCCATCCTTCGTGAATGCTGTCCATAAATTATGTCGCACCACAGATACATCTGAATTTTAATATCGTAGACCGGGCACTGCCATGGCCGCATCTCTTTGCTTCATGCACAAACTTGTATTGTACACATCCTAGATCGGACACTGTCATGGCCGCCGTTGTTTGCTCTTTCTGATAACTTCTCAGCAAAGAGTGCATACAATGGGCGCCTAAATGAAGGGCAAAATATCGGTCTCGTTATAGTCGAGTACGCATGGAATCTTTGCTCAATTGCCTTTCATCAAAGATAGTAAATAACTATGTACTATCTTTGCTTTCATTTAGCTTCACGTTGAGTCAGAGAGTGCGCTCCATCGTGAACCGGAAGTAAGTGAGAGTGCACAATCTAGGATGCTATGGTACAAGTCTGTCGTTCTCAGACCTTGACTGTTCGCTGTTTCTTGTACTATTATTGTATAACGTTGTATATCCAATTACCTATACACTTTATCACGTCAACTGACGCACTATAAATTGTAACTTTTGTGTTGTTTCATGGTTTTATATACACTTTCGTTTTACATTGTGTCTTATTCAGAGCTCTTTCAAAATGTTGCTACCTTTGTAAAAGTTTTTGTACATATTACACATTGTTGGGCCTTTTATTGGGCACGCCGCGCGCGCACGCACACACACACACACACACACACACACAACACACACACACGCATTCACTTACTCTCACTCACTCACACACACACACACACACACACA